ATTTATGTACCTATTAGTTCTTAACTACCCAATGCTGTGTGCTAGAAGGTTAATAACACAACTGTATGGTAGGCAGCTGAATATCTTTTTAAAATAAACTATTATAAATTAGTTTTTCAAATAGATATCAAAAATTTATAAATGCTGCATGAACTATTAGTTGAGCTCTGTGAGTACACACAACTCAGAGGTTCCTTCTAGAATTTTATATATATATATATATATATATATATATATATATATATATATATATATATATATATATATATATATATATATATATATATATATATATATATATATATATATATATATATATGTATATAATTATTTGTATCTTGTTTTTTATTTGGTTGTACTCTACTAAAATCTCTAAACACATATATATATATATATATATATATATATATATATATATATATATATATATATATATATATATATATATATATATATATATATATATATATATATATATATATATATATATATATATATATATATATATATATATATATATAGATATATATAGATATATATATATATATATATATATATATATATATATATATATATATATATATATATATATATATATATATATATATATATATATAGATATATAGATATATATATATATATATATATATATATATATATATATATATATATATATATATATATATATATATATATATATATATACATATATTTAATACAGATAATTTTATTTTAATGTCATTTTAGCTGCGTATCTGACAATATGAGATCGATGCTTTTTTGAATGCTGCAATTTGGAATATCTGCATAATCGTGGTCACTATTAGTTGGTTTACTCTCCACCAAATCATACTTTCTTATTAATTCAATTTCAGTCAGATATTTTAGTAATGGAGTGAGCAAAAGAAAAAAGAATTTAAAGCTTTTAAAATATGAATTTGATCTCTGATGCTGCAGTTTCCATTTGTTTATATGTGGCTGTGAGTTGTTGGCATTTGATATTGTTATTAAACATTCTTGCAGATCTCTTAGCTAAATAAGATCTTACAGCAAAATAAAAAGCTTGTTAGTATAGTTTATATGTTAACTGATTTTATGGTGAACATTCTTTTTTTTCTCAGTCGAGATATATATTTTAAATAGATTTAACTGCTACCAAATATCTAATAAAATCAGTTTTTAGACTATACAATATTATTTCCGTACCAATTAATCTCTTTAAGACTAATGTTATAATTATATGTAATGTCAAGAAATGGAAAACAAAGATTCTTGTTACATACACGCAATGCTGACTTGTATCCATTATTAAATAGGTTTCTTGAATTTAGTGTCATCTAATCAATCTTTTATGCGAATAAACTCATTGGCATACATATAAAATTATTTAACTGCAGCATACAGTTTGATAATATAAAAAAAGTCAGCAAACTATAACATATATCCGTAATTCTTAACAGCAGGTAAACATATATAACTTTAATTAAAGAGATATTTCAAAAAGGTGTTTTGAATATATGTATATTAAAAATTTAATAAATACATTTTTTTCAAGCAAATGTATTTTTACATACATTTTCATCACCGATTGTACTTAGTGATTATCCTTTAAGTTATAAGAAATGATTATTTACATTTTATTTGTTTTAAAAGTTATTATAAATAACTATAATTCAGACCTGTGTTTTTTTTACCAATATAAGTGACACTTTAAAATATTTTTATCATAATTATGCAATAATAGCATTTAAGTATAATATAAGTCTAGAAGAAGCTTCTGAGTTTTTGTGCACTTACAGCACTCAGTTAATAGTTTATGCAGCATTTGTACAAATTGGTATCTTGCTTAAAAAATATAAAGTATAAAATTGTAGGTAGACATGATTGCTGCTGTTTACCATGCTGTTATGAATGGTAAACAGCAGAAATTATTAACCTTCTAGCATACAGCATTGGGTTCTTATTCTTAGTTATAGCCTTCTTAGTTAGAACTAAAAGGCACATAAATAATACATAAAACTAAAATTGTAAATTTCACTCATTCCATTTAATAATAAATTCATTTATTTAAAAAAATAATATTTTTTTTTCTTTTCTTATTATAAAATTTATTCATTTATTTTTTTGCTATTTTTCTTACAAATGTATTATTTCATTATTTTCTTTTGTATTTTGATAAAGTAAAATAGAATGTATATCGGTTTCACCGCTAGGAACTAAAATCGCCGCCATCTTGGGAGGCCAATTTTGGCTTCAACTTTTTTCGGAAAAAACAATAGAATCCGCTATCCAGTTATATTTTGAGATCAGTGCATTGGCCAAATGTTGGCCCAACGTAGTACGATAATAGACCTTTTCGCTAACTCTATTTTAAGTTTGGCAGAATACTCCAGATATGATGCGATGTAAAACTTCATAAAAATTTCGAGTACTTTGTTTACGTTTATTTTAATAATGGAGTCAACATTAATTTAAAACAAATAACATAATAAACAATTGATGACCGACTCAAGTTTTTTATATTTTTTAATAATTAAGTTAGCATTAATTTTAAGTAAAAAATGTCAATGTGTTGTGCTGTGAAAGGATGCTCAAATAGCTCAAGAATATTAAAAAAATGGTTACAGGCGGGTTGCAAGCAACATCATTGCAAAAGACTTGTTCTTGTTCACAACCGTTTCGGTAAGTTCCAATATGTTAAAAGCAGTTTTTTCAGGGCTGTTTTAAGCTGTATATACCCATATACCCATATGGGTACGAGGACTTTAACAATGAGTTTAATCATGGAGTGATTATTCAGTCTAATAGAAAAACCCTTCCTTAATTTAAAACAAATGCAATTTTTGTATGTAAACATATTTTTATAATATTATAGTAAAGTATATTTTTTTAAATAAGGTATTTTGTACTTTTATGTTTTTTTGTTCTAAATTAATTAATGTTCTTAATAAATTAACTTAATTTATTTTTTAGACTTTATCCATTTCCAACAGCAAAGGAAAACTTAGTGATAAGAGAATCTTGGAAAAAGTTATTGAATAGAATAAATAAAGATAACAATAAACTTTTCAGTCCAACTAAAGACTCTCGTATCTGTTCAACCCATTTTGTTGATTGTATGCCAACTAAATGTAATCAGTATCCTACCCTGAAAATGGGCTATGATACAAAAGCTAGAGTATAAATTTTATCTCCACCAGCTAAACTAAGAAAAAAAGATGATATATCATCAACTTGTTCTTTAAAACCTCATGAATTTTGTAAAAAAAGTTGTAATAATCAAGATCGTCAATTTAATCTCTCAAATAAACCTATCATAACATTAGTTAAAAAAATAGATACTAGTTTTACTAGAAATGAGATGCCACCTTCTACAATTATTACCACTTGTCCTAGACACCTAGAAACTAATTATATTACTCCTTATCCATCAACAGCATTACAAAATAGTTCAGACAAAACCAACAAATATTGTCTTCCTAATCAAATACTAAACCAAGACAATTTTTTAAATATGTTTATTTTATTGATGGGATTATTAGCAATAATAAGAGAACTTTCATTAGTAATTTTGAATTTAAAGATTCAAATACGAATGGTAGAAGATGAAAAACAGAATATTATTAGAAAATATCAATTTAACACTCAAAGAACTTTTTATAAACAAGTAAATAAAACTGTAATAGAAAAAAATGTATATGAAGTAATAATTAAAAATGACAAGTTATGTAATTTCTATACAAATATGGTTGGTAAAAAGCTTTCAGAAGAAAGCTTTTTACCAACCATTACTTCTGCAAAACAGCTTTGAGGTATAAGATCCTTTATTTCATTAAAAAGATTTTTTCTTGTATTCTATTTGTTTTTCAGGTAGGCTTCAATTTCTTTACAAAATTGAACATAACTATGACGCTTTTTCACAATATCTTTGCATTGATTTAAATTTCTTTTTAAAACTTTTTTTTTTGTAATGGTCTGCACTAACATCAAAATTAGTCAGTTTTTCTGGTTCGATTTTTTTTTTTTTAGAAGGAATATTCCACTCTGCAAGTTTTTGAGTGCAAGTGAGTTGTGTAAACTCCGATAATACTGCAGCTTCTATACGAAATAGCATACCAGCTACATGACTACAACTTCCTGTAAAAAAATAAATTAAAAAAAAATTTTTTACAAGAAAATTAAACACAAATCTAACATAATCAAAACTAATAAAATTTAACAACAACGAAAAAAAAAAAGAAATATAAAAAGCTTAGACATGAAAGTATTATAACTAATTAAAGTAGGATAATATACCTAATAATCCAGCAACACAAGTACAATAGCTTGCAATAATAGTTCCCCCAGGTTGAACATTTGCATCTTTCTCAACAATCGCCCAAACATAAAAAGATTTCGCATTAACTCTCTGTGAAGGAACACATTTTGTTTTAAACAGACAATATATGGACTCTAACACTGTAGAAAAAAATTTCCCCAATAAAATTATTCGAATAGTATCTATAAGCTTTTCCTTCCTTGTATTCACTTTCTAATTTTCTACATAGGTTTTCTTGTCTACTGACAATTAAAAAATATTTTTCTATGTCCATAAAAAACAGACTGGGCCAAGATTTCATGCCTTCTTCTTTGCCACACCAACCAATTTTTAATGAAAAAGGATCAAGAAGATTGCAGGACAAAAATTTTTCAGTATAAACAACAAGCAGTAATCGCTCTGAGAGCTCATAATCAACATCAACTTCACAACCTTCTTCATATGCACTAAAGGCTCTGTTATATGTTTTAATTAAGATTATTTTCATACAAAATATATATAATTTTTTGGTACGTTAACAAAATAGAAAATAATACAAAAACTTTACCTAGCAACTTAAGTTTCAAATGAACCTGTGGTAGCTTTTTTTCTAATCTTCAAAAAACTTTTTAGTGCTGTTGTACTGTAAATCTTAAAATCATTGATAGTTAAAAACTCTAAAGTTAAATGTGATTTTGCCATAATTAGTATGCATCGCAAAAAGTATTACTTTTAAGATAAATTCTGTTCTAAATTTAAGGCTAACGGTCTTTCATATAATTCAAAATAAGATTTTGAATTTTACAAAAATCGCAGACCTAGAATACTTTCGACGGTTGATAGGCATGCGCTTTAAAGGTACCTTATTCTGAATTATACGAACGACCGCTAGCCAATATCTTATTTAGAATTTTGGAACAGAACCCTCCGAATTGTACTAAAGCGAGCTTCGCTCTACAAATTTTTGTAATACTCTTTAGATTAAAATGAGTGAAGATAATTCTTCTCTAAATTTTGAGCATTTATTAGGTATGAAGTTTTTCTTTTTTTTTTGTAAAATATATGATGCCGATATAAGAATATACTTATTTCTTTTCAATCTTTTTTTTTTTTATAATTAAAAGTGTATTATAAACGTTTACCAAGTTTAGAATGTAAATTCATTCAAAAAAACCATTTTGTATGATGTATACTAGATAATGTACTTGATAACCTGGTAAATATAGCTCTGTTTGTTTGTTTAAAAATAGATGCACAGCAAATCGATGCACAACCAAACACTGCTGAAGCTTTAAATCCGGCTACTGCGACAGAAAATAAGTACATATTGGCCACATATGCAAATGCAAGAATAATAGAGCAAAATGTTTCACAGAGTGCATTATTTTGTAACTTTCAATTTAGAAATGGAAAAAATGTTGAAGGTTTGCAATGTTAAACAAATTTTTTTTAATGTTTTTTACAATACTAGCTTTTTAATTTACTGCATGCGAAGTAAACATTTTTATAGATGTTCCCAATGAAAAATATGTCCAAAATGATATAAGGCATATGCTGTGCATCTAATATCATTTTGGTGTTATGTTGTTTATTTAAAAAAGATTCTGTATAGAAAGTTTCTTATTTTTTATATGAAATTTTTTGCTGTTTGTTATTAAATTTCATGACAAATTAAAATTATTCTTTAAATTTAATTGAAATTCTTATTTTTGCCCTCGTTTTTAACTAGTGGTTACACTGGCTGAGCTAAATTTGTGTCCTGTTTTAACCATGCTAAACATAAAATAACAATCGTGATTTATACCTTCAGGGAAAATCAAAGCAAAAGTGTCTTTTTAAACTGGTTTAGTAAAAATCAGGGAATTTACTTAGTGGTCAGGGAAAACAGTTGCTTTTTTTTTTAGTGACTCAGAATAATAAAACATTTCTAGTTCTAAATTTTTTTTTTTTTTTTAACTTCGGATTGTAATAAATTGTAAATGTTTTTTAGGATTTGTCAATGAAATCTTGAAATGTCAAATGTTGATTAAGTTTAATCATTTTATATATAAATTATTTTATTAAGTGTTTAATGTTTTTAAAATTTTCTTTTTATACATAAGTTTTAATAATCTACTACCTAATGTTCGTTGAAAATTATAAACAAATACTTTTTTAAAGTATTATTTTAAGTAATTGTAAATATTAATGCTAAATATTTACAATTATTTAAAATAAGATATCTTATTTTTAACATTTATTTCAATTTTTTAAAGCTTTCGCTTTTTTAATTCTTTTTTTGTACCAAATATTTTAACTTGGCAAAAACAAATTCAATGTTAGTTATGGAATTGCACCTTACTACAGGAACTTTTTAAAAATACAAGTCTGTGCATCAGACTGTTGCCATCAGGCTGGCTGTTTGTTATGTTGAAAGTTTGAACAAAGTTATTCAAATAGTGTATCTGGTTTGGATTTATCTAAGCAAGTACAACTACCTATGCATGGTTCTAATGTGAACTGGAAGGTTCTCAGGGAAATGCAATTGGAAAGAGACGAAGCTGGTTTGAGTTAATTTGTAAACATTGTCATCAAAGAAATATAGCCAAATATAATAAAGATAAATAATTTCCAGCAGAACCTATTATCTTTTAAAAGGCCGTCGTCAAAGAGCTATTTGGTTGTAAAAAAAAACGGAGTTACCAATGTCTTTTAGTATAAAAGCTTTTAATTTTCTTCTATATCACACCTTTTGCTGCCTCAAAATCCGAAAAAAAAAAATCAAACAGATGATCCCATGTTGTCTTTTCTTGGCAAGGACCTAGAGATGCTGCATAACCTAATTCAGTTGGTTGTTTAAACTGATATTTTCCTTAAATTTTATTCTGTTCTTAACTTATTAGAGCTTGATATTACTAATAAAAGTATTTATCTAGCAATAAAAGATATTCATTTAGTTTCTCAACTTAAGAAAAACTTCATAATTTATTACGTCAAGATAAAGTGAAATCTGCAGATGTAAAAAAAGTTAAAGAAGGACGCTGCAAATATGGTAATTTTTTTGTTGGAGAAAATTACTCAAAAAAGTTCATTACATCATTGCATGGTATTAATTGCAAATGTGTTTGAATTAAGTTCCTGTATATGACCAATCCAATCGATAGATCCAAATCTGTATGCAACTGGTCAAATTACGAAGCAAGATAAAACAACTCTTGACTCATTGAAGATTATTAATGCAACTTTAGCAGAGAAAGTTTTGCCATAATATTCAGTTCTGTTGAAATCTTGAAATAGTAGAGTCTTCAAGTTGCGAGAGCGCTAGACTTAATAATTTCTTTTTTTCATAAACCCACTATACATATACCAAAAAGTTAAAATCTATTTTGCTCTTATATTGGTTATAGTTACAAGTCATAGTAAAACAATGGTAAAGAAGACTTTATGTTATTAAGATTGTAACCAATATATAACCAATAATATAAAGAAAGATGATGAGTAGACCATGTGTTAAGAACAACCTGATACCTTCAACAATGAAACTAACAAACAAGTTTATAAGGTTTGTGAAAGGCGTGTGTTTAAAATATTAGCTAGACCTTGATCAAAAGAGAAAGAATGCTAAGAAAAATCAAAGCAACTATCAGTTAAAAATTATAACCATAATCATTGATGATTTAAAGATAGAAAAAAAATTTACTTGATTTTTACAACAATTTAGATATTGAGTTTATCATATAAGAGATATTGAGTTTATCAAAGGAAACCATATGAAAAGGAAGAGTGAAGATAAATGTCTTGAAATTAAAATTATAGAAAAAGCAGTTAAAATTTTGTTAGAGAAACAGAAAAAAAAAAAAAAAAAAAAGGGGAAACTAATCTCCCTTTTTTTAAAAGATATTACTTTATTGTAGCTATTCCTTTTCTTTATAAATTAATTGATTTTCAAGATAAAGTTAT